GGCACTTTAAAATTCTAGCCCTCAAAATAATTTTGAAAAATAGGATCAAGGCTGGAGAACTTAAGACTATTCAATTTCAATATTCCCTATCAAGCTGTAATAATCAGAAAGTATGGTACAGACCAGGTGTGGTGTACACCACGCCTGTAATCCCAGCAGTTTGGGAGGCTGGGGCAGGAGTACCACAAGTTCAAGGCCAGCCTCAGCAACTTAGTGAGGCCTTAAGCAACTTAAAGAGACCCTATCTCAAAAAACAACTAAGGGCTGAGGATGTGGCTCAGTGGTTAAGAGCTCCCAGGTTCACTCTCCAGTATCATTAAAAAATAAATAATTTCTAAGTTTTTTTCTTATTTGGCACTGAAGATTGAATCCAAGGGGTACATTTACCACTGATCCACATTCCCAGCCTTTTTCTTATTTTGTTTTTAGTTCTGAGACAGGGTCTTCCTAAGTTGCTTAGAATCTCACGAAGTTGCTGAGGCTGGCCTCAATCTTGGAGTTCTCCTGCCTTAGCCTCCCAAATTGCTAGGATTACAGGCACGTTGCAAGCTATCCACCGACTATGGGTGTGAACTGTGAGCATTGGAGCTATGTAAGGGGGCAAGTCTGGCGTTGTACCCTGATTGGGCTGTGTGACATCAGTGCACTTTTCCTCTTGCTCTGCTGTGATCCCACACAGAACCTAAGATGTGTGACTTTCCAAGATATCCATCTGCTGACTGCAAAACTCCACCTTTTAAAACCGTATCCCCTGCCCTATTTGGTGAAGAACATTCCATCAAAGCTCCTTTGTGTGTCCCCCCCTATAAAATAGATTCTGGATGTACGCTCCCTCTTTCTAGCACTGTCCAGCATGGTAGAGCACTTGCCTAGCATATATGTGAAGGGACTCAGAGCAGTCCCACCCTCAGTCTGAGAAATTCATGTCTGTGTGGTGCATGATTTCTCTGCCATTTTCTTTGTCTAATGTTGCAGCCAGCTTCTTTGAACCCAGTTCATCTTATCAGCATAGGCAACTAAAGAGACAAGCATAAACTACCATGCCCAGCTGTAATTTTTTCTCTTGTGCACTTTCTGCTACAGTTACTATGTTCCTACAGTCGCTCATTAAGTCAGAAAAGTGAAGAATCCCTATTGGAAAAGAGTGAATTTCAATGTGGACCAATATAGCGGAGCAATATAGTGAGGAAAGGTGACAAAGACTCTCAACATAGATTTCAGAATATAATGGACTGTGAGGACATACTCCATGTCTAAGGAAATTCAGATGGAAAAGCTCTTGACTAAATAACACTGGGGAAATGAATTCTTGTTCTGATTTTCAATCTGAGAAATTTGCAAATACTTAGATGATTTGAATCCAAGTTACAGCACAAGTTCTTACCTCCAGAAAGTATGACCAGTGTTCTGTTACCTACTCCTCTATCCTTTAAATTTTTTATATAAAAATAAGAGTCTTAACATTAAAGAATAGCTTGTGTGATAATCATTAGAAAGATTCAAACTCAAGACCACATAATAGTTACAAATTACTTTACCTACTTCAGGAGAGAAACCAGAGGTGTCTGGCATGCCAACAGTCCTTTACTAGGTAAAGTGACCCCAGCAGATACAATTTGCATGTTTCTTTGGCTCCTCCTTTGTACCACTTCTAATCAACTTAATTACTCGAAACCTGAGTCAGTTTTCATTCTCCATTTCTTTTTTATATTTATTTTTTAGTTTTAGATGGACACAATATTATTTCTTTTTTAAAATATTTTTAGTTGTAAATAGACACAATCTTTATTTTTATTTATTTATTGAATCCAGGGCTACATGCGTGTAAGGCAGGCACTCTACCACTGAGCCACAACCCCAGCCACAATATTATATTTCTATGTGAGGTTCAAATCCAGTGTGTCATGTATGCCAGGAGAGCTCTCTACCATTGACCCACAACCCTAGCCCTCATTCTCCCTTTTCTTACATCTAGTCCTTCAGCAAGTTCTCCCATTTTACTCTCAATATATCTAAAATCCATCTATTTCTTCCCATCTCTACTACCAACTCACTCTTCTAGATCATCATTATCTCTTCCACAATTACCTTTTAAAAAGTCTGTCCCTAGTTTAAAAAAAATTTTTAGTTGTAGATGGATACAATACTTTTAATTTATTTATGTATATGTGGTGCTGAGGATTGAATGCAGTACCTCACACATGCTAGACAAGTGCTCTACCACTTAGCCACAACCCCAGCCCTGTCCCTACTTTTTATACCTTCTTCTGATCTTTTCTGATATTTCCATGTTTAAAGTATCCAAAAGGGGCTGGGGTTGTGGCGCTCAGTGGTTGAGTGCTTGCCTAGCATGTGTGAGGCACTGGGATTTATTCTCAGCACCACATAAAAATAAATAAAGGGCCACCAACAACTAATAAATTTTTTTTTAAGTATCCAAAAGAATTAACCTTGCGGGGACTGTGGCTCAATGGTAGAGCACTTGCCTAGCATATGTGAAGCACTGGGTTCGATTCTCAGCAGCTCATAAAAATAAATGAATAATATCATGGTCCATCAATGTGTCTTAAAAAATACTCAAAAAAAATAAGCCTTCCTAAATTTGTAAGAGAACTTTAAATATTTTAAGGTATACATATTAACCAAAACCAGTAATCAAGTTTGAGTGCTTAAGAAAAAAATTAGCAACATTTTATTCATTTAGCTTAGAAATTTAATAAAGGAAGCATAAAAGAAAACAAAAGTACACTGAGGAACAGTGAATACTTTCATTCCTTGTAAAAAAAAAAGTCCTGTGCCTGGGTACATGGCTCACACCTCTAATCCCAGCAGCTTGGAAGGCTGAAGCAGAAGGATAGCAAGTTTGAAGCCAGCCTCATCAACTTAGTAAGATGCTGTCTTAAAAAGAGCTGGGGTTGTGGCTCAGTGGTAGTAATAACTCAGTGATAGTAAGTGCCTCCTGCATGCTAGGCACTGGGTTCAATCCTCAGCACCATATAAATGTAAAATATATTGTGTCCACCTTAAAAAAAAAAACAACTTAAGAATAAATATTAAAAAAAAAAAGTCTGGGGATGTGGTTCAGTGGTTTAGTGCCCCTGGGTTCAGTTTCTGGTACCAAATAAATAAGTCTTCTAGATTATTAAGAATTCATACCTAGTTTGAAGAATGCTTACTATGCCACACCCGAGGTAGAATTAACATACAGACAGTAATTTCAGAATAATGCAAACATCAGGCAATCTGTGCATGTTTCTTCTGTGCAACCAAAAACAAACTAAATAATACTACTATCATTTATCACATGATCATTATTCTTTCATCAATCAAATATTTACCAACAGCAAAACCACAGGCTAGCTATTGTGGTAAATTGAACATGGAAGTGCTCGCTTCGGCAGCACATATACTAAAATTGGAA